GCTCGCGATTTTTCTCTTCTGATTTGAGAATAATAAAGAATAATTAAATAAAAATTCGTGTTTTTCCTTTGGCCAGAAATTTTTGAAGGATTCTTTTTTTGTTTTACTTTCATCTGGAATTATATTCAAACCAGGTCTTTCTCGTGCATAGGAGGGGAAAGAAATGGTCGTGATTTTTCTATTCTGATTTGAGAATAATAAAAAATAATGAAGTAAAAAAAAAATTTCGTTTTTCTTTTCTCCAGAAATTTTACAAAGATTTCTTTTTTTTTCATACAGAATTATATTCAAACGGGAGGGGAAAGAAATGGTGGAGATTTTTCTCTTCTGATTTGAGAATAATAAAGGATAATTAGATAAAAATCGGACTTTTCCTTTGTCCAGAAATTTTTGAAGGATTCTTTTTTTTTTTTCCATCTGGAATTATATTCAAACGATGTCTTTCTCGCGCGTAGGAGGGGAAGACGCTCACGATTTTTCCCATCTGATTTGAGAATAATAAAAAATAATGAAGTAAAAAAAAAATTTCGTTTCTCCAGAAATTTTCGAAAGATTTTTTTTCCATCCAGAATTATATTCAAACGGGTGGGAAAGAAACGCTTGCGATTTTTCTCTTCTGATTTGAGAATAATAAAGAATAATTAATTAAAAAAATAGTGTTTTTCCTTTGTCCAGAAATTTTTGAAGGATTTTTTTTCCATCTGGAATTATAATCAAACCATGTCTTTCTCGCGCATAGGAGGGGAAAAAAACGCTAGCGATTTTTCTCTACTGATTTGAGAATAATAAAAATTAATGAAGTTAAGAAAAAATTGTGTTTTTCTTTTCTCCAGAAATTTTACAAAGATTTTTTTTTTTTCATCCAGAATTATATTCAAACGTGAGGGTAAAAAAATGGTGGAAATTTTTCTCTTCTGATTTGAAAGAATAATTAAATAAAAAGTCATATTTTTCCTTTGTCCAGAAATTTTTGAAGGATTCTTTTTTTTTTTTTGCTCATCTAGAATTATATTTAAACGGGAGGGGAAAGAAATGCTCACGATTTTTCTCTTCTGATTTGAGAATAATAAAAAATAATGAAGTAAAAAAAAATTCATCTAGAATTATATTCAAACGTTGTCTTTCTCGTGCATAGGAGGGAAAAGAAATGCTCGTCATTTTTTCATTTGTTAATAATGAAGTAAAAAATGGAATGGATGGTTTTGAGTCCTGACGCAGACAATGACGAAGTAGAAGAAAGCAATGAGGAAGGTGGAACCCCCCATTTTTTTTCCATCTTACCTTTTTTGTTCATTTTACATTAAGCCTGTATATATTTCTATTTCATTATTTTTTTTCCTTTTTTATCTTATTAAAATTATGTATATTACTTTATCGTTTTTTCTTCTTTTTAAGATTATTACTAATAATAAATTTTTTTTAGTTGGGTTTGACAATTAAAAAAAACGGCTTTTTGTAGCGATTAAGAAAACCAGAAAAATCAGTTATCCGGAATGGCGATGGTACCGATCGTTCCGGATAATCGGTTCCCTACTGTATTTTGTAATTAATTATTAAAAGAAATATTAATTTTTACATAGTATGATTGAGTGAATGAAGTTTAATTATTTTTTGTATTCCAGTTTAATTAAATATCTTTTTTATTAAAGCTCATTTATTAGCCATTTTTAAGATTTTTTTCTATTGTTAAGAGCACTTTTATGTCATCAAAACTCAGACTGTGTTTATTATTGTATGCTATTAAGAAAAAAATTAGGGACCAAGTTCAAGAATTTGAACGTTATCTGATCATTATTGTGTTATCTATTTTAAATATATTATGTAGTGCATGAACTTAACATTAACAAGAAAATAGTTAAAAATCCTATCTTGAAAAGGATATAAAATCCTGGCTGTGACTTTGGATGTAATGTTGAATATTTGGTATTGTAAGCTACAAAGTACTTTATAGTATTGAAAAAATTCCATATTTTGATATATCACATTATTTTTTAATATTTTATACGTTTATTTAAAAAATGTAGTACCATTATTAAAAACATATAAATACACAATTACAATTTTATTCTTTAAAAATTTTGAGGCCAAAAATAGTTCATGTTACCCTGTCTAAAATAGTTATCTTATTAATAGTTATCTTATAAAATAGTCATTTAAATTATGTTTCTATTAAAATAGCACAAAGTATTGTATATTTTTTTGCATGAGTAATATGCTGTTTCATAGGGTTAAAGGGAAAATCTAATCAAACGTTTGAAACTCTGAATCTAACATGCACAAGAAGGTGAGAGTATGAGTAAATTTTTTCATTGGTAATTTTATGGAATCTTAACTTTTGAAACCGCCATGAAAATATTACAGATTTCTTTCTTTTTTAAAAATAATGAAGAAAAAAAAACGCATTTATATTATTAATTTGTTGCGAAAAAAATACTGTTAAAAACAGAAAAGAAAAAAAATTAAATATTTGTGGAAAGATGAGGGAGCATCTATGGAAAGGTTTTCAGTGTGTGACCTTGAACAGGAAGTTTAGTCACAATGAAACTATCTCTACTTTTCAAATATTTATATGTGATAAACTACTGAACTATTTTAAAGAGCTATCTTTCTCGCCTCTTGCTTCAAGTTCTCAAGGACAAATTTTTCTTTCAAGTTCAGACGAAGTTTTTCTATTAAGAGTTTTACAGTTTGTCATAATTTAACTTGATGGGCACAAAATAAATTGTTACTCCTTCTTTAAAGGATAAAGGATAACGAAATCATTCCTGCCTCTTTCACAGGTGAGGTGGTATTTCCTGCTTATTGTTGCATTATCGATCAGAATGCATTTTGGGAGGGCTCTTATTATTTATTTTGGTTTCTGTCAGTTTTAAAATTCTTAACAATAGTTATTTCAAACACCTGAAGAAAGACCACACCATGACTAAAGGAAATGTATGTTTTACAATCATTGTGTCAATAGTACTTGTATGGATGTGTCTTATAACAATTGATGACTTAAAAATTTCATATGGACATGGAAATCGTGAAATACTTCTCAGTGTCATGACTAAGTGAAATAACTCAGGGCATACTTTTTTTGAACAAAACCTTAACTACTTCTAAAAAAAAAATTAAAATAAACAAGAAATTAAAAGGATATTCCTTGTTGTATTAGAAAAAAAAGGGAATAAGAAAAGTATAAAGAAAACCAATCAATCTAAAATTGCACTGATAACTACTATTATTTCGTATTATTATTATTTTGTATTTATTATTTTATAAAATTAACTAATATTTCAAAACAAAATTTCAAAATTTAATAACATCTTTATTCTCTTAATATGGGGCTCAAATATAAGGTAAAAAGAAACATAGCAAATTTTTTATTGCTTAATATTTTTGCTGTAAAAAAGATAAACAAGGGAGTTTTTTTTATTCTTTGAACTTATTTCAAACATATTCTTTAATATTTTCAGTGTTTTTATAATTATTTTTTATATTTCTAGTAAGGTTACTATAAAATATTCTTGTAAAATCTTAATGAATTTCTATTGAATATACGTGTGTAACATTTATGTTTTCAAAACAGAAATTAAGGCAAAACGTTCTCGGAAAATTTTTAATTGAAGAACATTTATAATTTAATTTCATTTGAATGTTATAGATGCTACTCTAAGGGGGGGAAAACTAACAAGTAAAATGAATAAGAAAACGTTTAACAAAACAAAATATACATTTGCTATTTTTTTAACAGATAAAAATGCCAACGAAAATGTATAAGAGATTCAACGTTCATCGTTTAAAATTTTAATAATTTACTTTTCAAAATTATAGAAACTAATTAGTGTGTTTAAGATTTTAGGATAATAGAATTTAAAATAATGCTTTATTTATTCGAAAAAATAATAAGAGATTTGTTTATAACAGTTTATTAACTATCTTTCAGATGCAATAAAATGCACATTTTGTAAGAGCACATGCACATTTTAAAATGTAAATTTTATTAAAATATTTTTTTTAATTCTCTTTTAAAAAATTAGGAGAGATTTGTTTATGATAGTTCATTAACAATCTTTCAGATGCAATAAAATGCATATTTTATATTAAATTAGCAAAATATTTTAATCATTTTTAAATAAATGCTTTCTTTGCATTAGAAAAAACATAACTTTATTAAATAAAATTGATTAAAAGCAATATTTAAATTTTTTCTCATAATGTGTTAAACGTCACAAATAAAAATTGACAAGGTATGCATAATTATGCCAAAACGTCTACAATAAAGATGTACATAACAACCTTACTACTTTTGACTCCTAGAAAAGTGACACACAAATTACAATAAAACGTTTCCTATTCATAGCTGGTTAAAGTAGTTACCACCCACTGACTGAGTGGGGGAAGAATTTCTACAAAAAAGCGCTGTATCGAGAGGAGAATTTTTTCACCTGACTAGCCGCAACTAAAAGGTTAATGCAAAAATTGGAAGAAACTGGTTGCTCATGCGATCTTCTGGCTGACTTTCTGTTCCTGTTAACGTTGCAGTGGAAGTGCAAGCAATAAGCGAAAGCCATGTTTTTAGCAGCTGGTTTGATTTTTATAATGAATTTCTCAATTGGTATGATGGCAACAACTGGCCATTTTCCATTTGTTGGACAAACGAGATGCATTTCTCATTGACTGGTAACATTGATTCGAAGAATTTCATCCATTGGTCAAAATCACATCCCCATGATATGGTCACACTTTCATTACACAAAAATAAAGTTACTTCATAGTGCAGAATAACAAGTACTTTCATCCTCATTTTTTACTTTTTTAATAAGAACACTGCCCTGGGTCTACGGACATGTACCGTAATAAGTTGATAACCTAACTTATTAGATTAATTTATTATATTTTACAGTTTTATCATTCAAATTAATGTTATAAGTGAACAAATATATATATTGGTACAATCAAATTTATTCAAATGACTGCCTTTTTATTAATGTTGGGAAATTCTAAATTTGTTTTAGAGTGGTATTGGCATTGCATGTTTCGTGACTGGGTTTTTCGTGCAGTTTGTGTGGTTCTTATAATATTCAGTGCTGCTGTTGTCTGGTCAGAGTTGACATTTTTCACACAAAGCCCAACTTTGTCCTTGTTTGCATTATTCATGTCATTTGCTAAATACAATTACCTTGCCATTGAAGTAAGTTCATTTTATTCTCTTATCTTAAGAAAAAGTAACTAAACTATCTTTTTTTAATAGCTTCTGCTTAATTCGCTTTCAACAAATAAAAGACAATTTTGAATTGTTTTAGCAAATTTTTTTTAGTTCATTTTTCTTATTTTTGTTGCAAGTTGCCACAATTTTGCTAGCTTATTTATGCATTCTTTTGAGCATACAAGATGTTGTTGGAGTCCTACATTACTATGAGTGAGATAATTTATGATCTCATTAAAGTAAAACTGCATTAAGCATTCTGTGGTATCTAAAAAATTAATAGTTTGTTAAAAGATTTTTATGAAAAAATAATTTCATATTTATTAAATCAAATGTATCTTAAATGAAGGCTTTTTTATATTATATTCAAAATACTTGAACATCATAGGCTGAAGCTACAATGATTAGCCTTGTGGTATGATTTCTAAAAAAGTGTGAATAATATAGAAAATAGGTTATTGTTGTATCTAAAATTAATTATAATGTTAACATTATATTGCTTACTTTAGCAGGTATTTCTTCCGATTTCTGTTGAAGATAAAACAATATTTTTGTTGCTGAGAGGCTAAATCAGGCGCTATCGTAAAAAGAGTGCACTCAGGGATGAGAATTTTCTTCTTTTTTAGCTTTAGTCTCTCAAATTTCAGTTTTTTGTAAAAATTCAGTCGTTGAAATAAAATAATTATATTTATTTTCGATTTTCAAAGATAAGTAGAAAATGCAAACTATGTAGCTGCCAACCCTCCCATTTTCACTTATTTTAGCTATTTTCTCCAGTAAGTCTTCGCTCAGAAAATAAGATTTTTCCGACAGATGGCTCATATTTTTGTAATGCGGATGTTGTTGCTTCCTGTTTGCTGGCACGAAACCTAGGGAAGTAGTAAAAAATAGTGGTGAATTTGCGGTGAAAATATTAATTTGCTCATTCATATCTTGAACATTTTTATTTATTATGGCTAAGCAACATTTCAAACAAGCATTTTAGAAATCCTAAGTCCAGAATCTGCTAATATCTCGATTCTTATTCACGCGATTTTAATATGAAACATCGATATTCATATTTACCTGATTTAAAAGTTGCGCATTGCGATTCTTATTTACAAGATATACATATATATATATTTATAATATTCATTCTTGGATTTCCTCTTTTTGACTACTCTCATCCCTGATGCACTGTCAGTAAATTGATTTTAATATTAAGTGAAAATCAACTTTTTATTATTTGTAGTAAGAAGCTTTGTTCAATACTTTTTAAGTTTGCAAAAAGTAGATTTAGTAAATAATACAGGGGAAAACATTTATATTGCTGTATGATTAAACTTACAAAATTGATTAGTTTGCAGTTTAAAAAGCGTATACCATATTACCCCTCATCAACCGGCATGCCGTAAAATTCAGGGCTCACTAAGTTTTCAATAACCCTTGCCTGGTCCTTGTGCCATGCCGGAAAAAACAAGTTTAGAAAAATATTTATTAATTTAATATAATAAATATGTGTTTAACTTAAAAAATAATATGAGTTTTTTATATTATCTTAATAAAGTTAATAAACATTTTAATTTCGTTAAAATAAATATCAATACTACTGTTATTATTCTTATAAGCAATATTTAATTGATTACGAATAATTTTACAAAAAGTTAAATTGAAACCAAGATTACATAATGAATTTAATATAGCTATTCACTAAATAAAAAATAAATTTACCTCTCTAAAAGGAATTTAAAATAATTTACGGAAAATTATAACTGAATCGCAATTGCTATGATTGCTTCTGAGTCAATCACTTTATTGGCACATAACTAAATCCATAACGAATGACCTATATTAATAACAAACACATATTTATTTTATCTCTCTTCTTGTTTAAATATTTCTATTATTGACTGAATTAACGAATTTTTCATTCTTTAAAAAATCCTTACAACAATTATTCCTCTGATTCGCTTTCATTACATTCTATAACTGGCAAACCTGACTCATTTATATTACAATCATTATCAGCATCAATAAGGTTATTCATCATAAATATAGCAATAAAGAAAACAAAGGAAATAAAAATATGACCACCGAAGCCGACGTCTTCAGGGGGTACTGGCCTCGGAAGCCATAAAACAAAACCTTTTCTATTGAGCAAGGGGCCAAATTAAATGCCAGAATTAACTCTCTAAGTACCCCAAAGGTTTTGTATAAGTCCAGGAAAAAATACATGAAATACATAAAACTAATTCAGAAAAGAAATTCAAGCAAAATCTTGAGAAAATAAAAACTCACATTAAGCCGGTCAAACAGCGATTTCATAAACAAACTAAATGTGAAGGAAACACTTAAAACAAAAGAAAACAACACCCTCTATTAAAATGTGAAGAATGAAAAAATAAGAAGAGAAGTAAAAGAAAAGATTACGTAACAAATTAATAAAATGCTTAAGTGGGGCTGCTCAGTTAAGACTTGAATTGCACCCTGTTAAAGGAAATAAAAATCTAGTATTCTTCAATCATTTTCTTAATCAAAAATTAACATTACAAAAGTTAAAAAGAAAATTATTATTACTCAAATTATTCAAAAAATTATTCACAGCCTCCTGAAAACTTTAAACGTTATTGCAAATATTATTAATCCTAACCCATTGTGAAAAAAATAAATTTTTTAAAACTTTTATTACACAGATTAGTATTAAAGTTGCAGAAAGAAATAACTTTAAATTTAAAAGCTTTTCTTTTATCAAAAACACCAATTTTAATAATTTTATCAACAATATCAATTTTTAAAATCTGAATATTCAACATTTAAGCAATTCTCATTAGTTTTTTTCAAAACCAAATCTTTAGGATAAATACTATAAATAAAATTAAAATTGTCACAATTAAACAAAATTAAAATTATCACAATTAAACAAAATCAAATCATCAATATATCTAAAAGCATTAAATTCATTATACTCAAGAAATTTAGCTTCAAAGAATGCAAAAAAATATTAGCAAAAGCACCTGAAAAGGAATCACCTTGTGAAATTCCAATAATTTGTTTATAAAGATCTAGACCATTAAAAAGAACATTCTCAAAAAGATTAAACCTACTTAAATCCAACCAATAAGACTTATCAATTTTCTCATTAAATAAATACTTATCAAAAATTTCGCTACAAATTTCAACAATCTGATCATGTGGCATACTTGTATACAAATTTTCAAATTCAAAAGTATTAATGCTAGAAAAATCATTATTATTAATACATATAATCCAAAACTTCAACATTACTATTGAAAACAATATTTTTCTCTTTTTTAATTTTAAGTAAAATAATTTTTAGAAAATTACAAAACTTTTTACTAATATCAGAATTGTAACAATTAGTACCACACGCAATAAACCTAAATTTAATCGGACTTTCATGAAATTTAACAATAGGAAATAATTATGAAAATGTAATCCTATTTAACCTAAAAAAAAAGCTTTTTTAGCATTAATCTGTCCAATATCTATATCATAATATTGGACTTCAGCATAATCTGGATTGTGGGGGGGATGAGTTGTTATCAACAATGTCAACCTACTCGTCTATATAAAGGTACCCCAACATAGAATCGAGTTAACATGTCTTTTATAGTAGTGAATTGGGATTGTATTTTTGTTTTCCTCTGAAAATAAACTTTTAATTTATTGAAAAAAGGTAATATTTATTTTTAAAGCTTTTTATTTTATTTTCTCTGATCAAATAGTATTTGTGCCTAAATTTTTATAGCAATTAAAATTTACAATAATGTGAAATGTGACTTTTTTCTAGTTTTTGATTGTTTAGTCATTGTCTTAAGTTTTTCAATTAAATTAAAATGATTTACTCTACCAAATGCTTTTTAGCAAGGAAAATTAGTAATTATATTCTTAGTTTTGTTAGTACTATTAATAATATAATACATTTTAAAATTTCAAAGAATTTACCATATTTTTGATCTAATAAGTTCCTTTCTATTTTCAGAAAAATATAAATCTTGTTTAATTATTTCAATTTTATTAGCTAACATCTTTTTAACATTATAAGTTGATAACAGGAAGATAAGTTAATGATTTAAAAAATACTTATTATTATCAGTTTGAAAAATTTAGAGTTACTGATGCTCTTCTTAGTGTATTTTAAAATTAAAATATTTATGAGATTAGTTTGTTTCTTTATTTTGAAATATTTGGCACTGTATAACAACTATTGAGAATGTAATATACCTTAAAACATGCGTTATAGCTTTGGTTACTATTTTATTGTAGGTTATATCAACTGCTACAATAGCTTACTTGTGCATCTGTGCTTACTACACAGTGTTTCGAATAAGAATAATGAATTATTATTATTTGGCTCCTCATCACCAAACTAATGAATACAGTCTTATATTTTGTGGAATGTAAGTATTCTTCATAAATACTCTTCATTTGTTCTGAATTAATTAAGTTGCTCTTGATTGTTATAACTTGATGTCTACAAAGTAAACCACATTATGCTATATTGGAATACTAAAATAGCATATACTTTATTTTTAATTGCATTTTTGGCATAATAATATTAAATAAGTGGTGTTTAATCATTTAATTTTTATCCATGGAATCATAAAACATTAAATGAGCAATATAAACTTGATTATCAGTATTTTATTATAATAAAAATATTAGTTTTTATTTACAAAAAATTGATACTTTGCATATTTTATTCTTAGACATGATAATTAATTTAAAATATTAAGTTAATGGACACATTACATCATTATGTAATCAATAATAAAATAAAACCATTGAGACCTGAATTAATAATTAGGCTGAAAAATTCTAATTTTAAAAAAAGAACATTTGCATAATCGACAACAATACAAAAACTACCAGATAAGCTACCCCTTTAGATTGGCCTCTCAGTCTAAATTTAAAGTTGCCAAACTTAAGTATTTTGTCGACATTTGTATTTTTGGACTCTTTTGCTCTTTTAGTACGGTTTTTAGATTTTATGGCATTTGTTTCAGATTTTGGCCTATTTTTCTCACTTTAGTTCATTTTTTTAAATCTTTAGAATCACTAGCTCACTCTTACAACTTACACATATTTTAACCGTAGAATTCCCATTCATTCAAGTAGAACAGGTATTCATAGCTAGAATTAACCGTTCTACAGTTAGGGGTTGGGCAACTACACTAGTCCATCTTACTTGACATAATCTTTTTTCCATGGGAGTTGCCTTTCACCCTATTCTGAAGTAATTTTTTATATTATTTTTAAGCATCTTTGTTGACCCCATTTTACAAAACATAAAATTAATTAAATAAGGAATTTTTTTAACTGTGTTTTAGTGTAACTCATATTGTAAATTTATTTATCGATTATTTGTATGTAGGTTATTCCATATTTATGAGTTAGACACTTTTTTTTAGAATTCTTGACAAAAATTAAATGTATAAGATACACTTTAGTTATCTTAAAGTAACATTTTAAAAAAGAATATTATTTGAGATTGATAAATCAACAATTAGAGCAAATGTAGAATAAAAATAATTTAAAACAATTCCTCTTTAAGAAAATTGAAAATTTTTCACTTTTCATTAGAAACCGATTTTAATTTTTTTTTTTTTTCAATAAGAAAATTGTATTTTGCTTACTTGTACTGTGATGAATCAGGATATTTTTTTTCTTTCAAATTTTAATCACCTTTCTTTTATCTCACTTAAATATTTACCTCTTGAAAGAATTCTAAAACTAATTAAGGGAGGTGTTTTCGGAAAACCTTTTGTTGGATGTTTCTGAAATGTAGGGGAAACAGTTGTGTTCATTGGAGCTCTCAACTATTTTATAGCAAATAAACAATCATATTAAATAAATTAAAGAAATTTAAATATGCTACAATAATGGAGGAAACACTTTCAATTTTTGAGATTATGTTTTAATTTCTCAAATAATACTTACAGGATTATTTTATAACTTAAAAGACGCTTAGATCATACAATTTTTCATACTTAGCAATAAATTTTAAAACCTTCAGAGGTTTGAGGAACCGGAAAAAAGTACAAACAAAAGCAAGTATTTTTGATATTTTTTTTCCAGAAAACAATGAACTTTTAAACAATAAACTCGATCAATATTTTGGTTATTATTTGTAATAATTGCAGGAAATTTCCTAAGCTTAGATTAAATATTTATGGAGATGTGTCATTTTTATAAAAAAAAAAGCTCATTTGTCTTATGTTTTTCTTTCCTATTACATCAAAAATATTCAACAAATTAAACAGTTTTAGGAGCAATTTTTAATAAATAACAAACTTATTTTCAAATTAGAGAAAATTGTTTTTTCAAGAATTTGGGTAGATATGAGTATTTGAAGTAGCACTTTCCTACTGTGCCTGTACGGAAAAAAAAAGTTTTTTTTTTCATTATTTTGTGGTGTATTTTTTTTTCTTCATATTTTTTAAGATATTCCAATGAGACTTTTTTCTTTAATTACCAAATTTTATTCACTATCTGATTTTTTCTATAATTACCAAATATGATTTGGCTGTGGGGTTCTAGAAATTTCAAGATCGCTATTTCGCAGACTTCCACGAATCAAAAATTTGTATTCTGAAGAAAAACATTTTAGAGTTCTGCTAATGTAAAGTTTACATTTAATAGCTTTTGCGTATTTCCGTTTATGAAACATTTATTTCTCTCTCACCAGAAATTTGAATTCAACATTTAAGTAATCATTTTTGACTTAATGATTGTATTGTTTTATGATAGATTTGTCAACAGTTATAGCTAAGAATTTTCGCAAAGCTTTGTAAAATCTCTTTATTTTTCATTACTGTTTTAAGACTTTGCAAAATTCAAATCACAGGTCTGATTAGGCGCTTTTTGAAGAGTACCACTGTTTTACCGATCATCTTTTTTGCACTTATTGCTACTGATTTCCACCCTATTTTTAAAATCCAATATTTTAATATGATTCTATTATGAAACCAGAAATTTGAATTGCATATTTAACAAATGATATTTTGACTTGATAATTCTACTGTTTTTCAATTTATTTTTCCACTGTTATCATTTCTGTTTTTTTGCATTTTTTTTAAATCGCTGTAATTTTAATAGGATATTATTCATTACAACATGCAAATATTAAATAATACATTTGATTAGTTCCTTTTTAACGCATCTGACACTAGTGTGATTTCAATGTAAATGCAGAGTTGCCAACTTTCTACTCTTTTTGGGAAAATTTCTTCTAGTGATAGCTAAAATCATGTTTTAATGTAGGATCCTTTGTTTTGTAAATTTGATTTAAACTTATTTTCCACAGCATTTTATGTAGATGATTCAAGCATTCATATGAAATGCACATTGTTCCAGCTCTCTTGTGGTGGTGCTTTTGAAAAATTGCTCTTAATACTAGAATATATATTATTTTGTGATGAGAGAAAACTGATTAGATTTTTTCTTCCTTTCTTTCTTCAAGTTCTATAAATATTACTATTGTTTATAAAACGAAATTTATTTATTTTCTATGTCTTTTTTGTGATGAGAGAAAACTAATTAGATAATTTCTCTTTCTTTAAATTCTATAAATGTTAATATTATTTAGAAAAAAAAATTATTTATTTTCTATAAGTACTTTTTTGATGAGGGGAGAAAACTAATTAGATAATTTCTTCCTTTCTTTCTCTAAATTCTATAAATGTTACTATTATTTATATAAAAATTTTTTTATTTATTTTCTATGTGTTCTTTTGTGATGAGGAGAGAAAACTAATTAGATAATTTTTCTTTCTTTAAATTCTATAAATGTTACTATTATTTATATAAAAAAATTCTTTATTTATTTTCTATGTGTTCTTTTGTGATGAGGAGAGAACACTAATTATATAATTTTTCTTTCTTTAAATTCTATAAATGTTACTATTGTTTATAAATTAAAATTGTTATTTATTTTCTATGTGTTCTTTTGTGATGAGGGGAGAAAACTAATTATATAATTTCTTCTTTTCTTTCTTTAAATTTTATAATTGTTTCTATTGTTTTTAAAAAAAATTGTTTTTTTTTCCATATGCAAACAAAGAATGTGTATTAAAAAAATTATATTTTATTGAAAGCAACTTTTGTTGGAAAACAAAACTATCTAACCATAATGTTTTAGAAAAATGTCAGTTAATTTCTTCTTCCAGCAAACACATATCTAAATTAGGGATTGATTTATTTTATCTGATATTAAAAATAATATCAATTAACAATACAGCAATCATATCATAGAAATTTTAAATATGGAATTGAGATATCATCTTTTGCATACATCATATTCATTATGTATTCATTTCAAGATTACAAAAATCCTACTTTAAAATTATTTGATTAAATTCGTCTTGAACTTGAATACAAATTTTAATTACACATTGGAGTGAAGGGATATTAGCTAATTGATACTGATTATTTTCTTTAATGTAAAAGTATTATAAATTTTTTCAATATATTAATTTCAAAGTATTATGAGTTATTCAGTGCTCCATTAATGAAATTATACCAGAAACTGTTAACATTTCTGTTCTAAACAAAGTAAATTCTAAAATTAAAAATCTAATTTTTTCTATTATTATTTTGCGATAAAATCTACCTTTATTATACTTAAGTAGAGCAAATTTAGAGTATAGTTTTTTTAGTTTGTCATTTAGCCTTTTTAAAAGAAGTCTGGTTATTTATACTGTCCAAACAAAAACTGTTTATGTTAAAAAAAAATTTGTCCTGGTTTTTTCTTCATCCTTCAATGAAGTTTGTGAGGAAAAGTTAATGCCACCATCATTCTCACAACGCAAAAACTTTTCAGTATAAATATAAGAAATTTTGAACACTTTTATAGAAATGTTTAAGAAACTTTCTTATATGAACATGATTAGTATAGAATAATATTATGAAATTAGTTGTTGAATTATCTTACATCAAGTTTAATTTTTTTGTACCTCATATTAATTCAGTTTTGCAAAAACAAAACAAAAAAAATTAGCAGTAGAATTATGCTTTGTCAATCTGAAGGTAACATTCCATTTTGCTCTAACTCCAAAACGGTTACAGTATCTGGCCAAATTATTAGAGGCTCTTTAAGATTCTTTGTAAAATCTTAATTATCAGGTGATACTATACAACTTTATTGTTTTTATGCGGGTGAAGCCAGTTTGCCGCTTGTTTCCGTTCGTGTATAAATTGGTTAACATTGTAATGCAATATGTTATAAATAAATACAAATAGGAAGTATATAAAAAATCTCCTGAATAAAAACTCATGCAAAACATGCAATTATTAAAAAACTACAGTGCTTATAAGAATTTGGTCTGATATAATACCTGATATAATATGATATAATACCTGATATAATAAATATTCTATATTTATATAATATATCGTCTCATTTATCCAATCGTCAAATTTATATTATATATCGTCTATTTTTTCCAAGTGATACACGAACATAAACAAGTGCAAACCTGTTTCAGTAAGGTAAAAACAGTAAGGCTGTGTAGTATCACCTGATAATTAAGTTTTTATATAGAATCTTATAGTTCATCTAATAATTTGGCCAGGTACTGTAGGTAATTAAATTGTAAGCTTGCATTTTTTTCTCTCTCTATTGTTATTTGACATAGAATGGAGAAAGGAAAAATACAAAAAAGAAAAAAAAAAGTTATATTGAGGCTCTTAACTGTAAAATAACAAAGTTTTGCAGCCACTACTTTAATGTCTGACCAAAAAAAAGGGTGTTGGCCTTTTTTTTAAAAAATTATAATAAATGTAGAGTTATAATTATATTAAATGTAGGGTTGAAAAACTAGCTTCCTATACTCTTTTTGCTTTACTATTGTTTTTAAATAAAATAATAATAATTAGAGCTATTTATGTATATCAAGAGCATGGTAACAAGCTTTTCAATGGTACTACATAGTTGCACATTACTAAAACTTTTATTTATTTTTACATATTCTGTTTTTGAATTTCTTGTTTTGCATTAATAGGATTTTTTGAAACTTTTTCCCGTGTTATTTTTTCCATGGTTAGTTAATTCTTTATTTTAATATCAGTTACTTTTTCTGAGTAACTAATTTTTTTTTTAAATTGCAAAACATTTTCCGTTTAAGTGCCGATCTATATCAAAATATTGATTTTTAAATCTTTTATTTTTATAATAGTTATGACATTTTTCACTAAGTTTCCTTTATGACTGATAGTTATTTTCAAAATAGTCTATATTATTATTTTTCTATAGTCTTAGATTGTTTTTCATTGTTCTTTGGTTTTAAGATGTGATAAAAAATGACTCATGTTAATCTATTGCTGATGCAAGTTTTATTTGCAGAGAGTTGAATATCTATATTTCTGATTGCTTCTTACTTTACTAATAGGTTATTATGTCGCCTTACTCCTCCACTTTGTTTGAATTTTTTGGGATTAATTCATCTTGACAGTCATGTTACCAAAAAGTCTCTTATTGAAGAAACATCTTACACTAAAGTATGTAATCCACTCAATCCAATAATATATGAAATGCATTGCCTATAAGGTGGTGATCAAAAATATAAGTTTTTAATTCATTGGTTTCTCCTTTAATATTTTTTTTTTTTAAATTGTAGATTTTGTCATTAAAAATTACATTTTTTATGAATGTGATAATTTATTTAGAATTTAAAATTTTCTTTTATTATTATAAAATTTCTATATTTTGATTTCATAAGTGCATTGCATTATTTTTTGTTCTGTGTCGTTGTAAGCTTTAAGACTAGAGGGATGGAACTATATTTTCACAATTGTAGACGCCTCCCCATATTTTGTGGGTCAAAAATCTAAAGCCACCAAAAAAGAGGTATATTGATTTAAAGATTTTGATTCCATTTTTGTAACTTAATTTATAGAGTGCATCAGTTATTTGGTTTATTTAAAACATTTTCTTTTAACCATTAAATTAAAATAATGATTTTTTTCTAAAGTTATTTGTGTATTTTTTATTACTTATAACTTTAAAATCTGTTAAAAAACATTGTGTTAAAGAGAAACTTGAAAATGATTGAGTGTTTAGCACCATATAATGAAAACAGTGTTGCATCTATTATTTAAGATAATCATGATTATATAAATTGAAACTTAGGATACAACATAAAGGAAAGACGAGATAAGATTGATTTAAGCTACTAATATTAAAAAAAAAAACTAGAATGTTTAATCTGAAAAAAGAAAGATTAATATTACGTAGAATTAATTAGCAAAGTTAATTCAGTCTTAAATAATGGTCAGCATTATTACGGTTTAAGTTTATTAATTGATAAGAACGTTTCTTGGTTAGAAAATTTTAATAATTTCATAAGTGAGAAGAAAATTGTTGGTAAATTATATAACAATAGCAGAACTTGTTATGTAATTAAATGTTTTAAATACTTAAATTTTTTTGTTTCCATGAGCAGTTGATTAGCATCATAGTTGCACAAATATTGCACTATATAAACTGTCTTATTACATTAATTTTAGTCCCCAGTGTATAAAAACTTATTTATTTCGCAGTAGTGCTCTTTTATTTCAATAAAACCTTTTTATACATTTCATATAGTATCGTGATAATTGGAAATCAGTCCTTCAAAAATAAAAATTTATTTCAAATTTCCTCTCACTTAACTATGTCAAACTTCTATTATTTCAGTGTTTCGTTTTAACTTTTATTTAACACTATTTTTTTAATGTTTGCATAAATTAAACTTTTTATGGGTATAAAAAATAGCATATTGAGACTCCAGTTCAGAATAACACTAGAGAAAATAAAAATTTCTTTTGACCTTTTCATTAAGACCGTCTCCATACAGAATTAAAACACATTAGACGAGGAAAGAAAAAAATACATGATGATATTTCCTTTTGTAATACTGTAGCATAGTATCTAGTTGCTACTATTTCGAGAATGTAAAGTAGCGATAAGAAAAACCTCGTATATGAACAGAGGGGGTGCCTCTCAGGCATTCTAAAGTCTGTCGACCCTTCATAATAATGAATCAATCCTCTCAACTTTTCTGGTATTTTAAATAACCCCTAAGGGACAAGGTTTCCTCCATTCTTCCTCTCTATAGACATTTCACTTCCTTTGCGAGGTGGCAACGGCCTTAAGTGTCAAAAAATATTATTTCTAAACCTTTAACAGTATGTTTTAATGACATTTATAAGTGTAGTTATAATTAATATTAAGTGTGTACTTATTTTAATGGAAAAATAAATAATGTATTAATATTTAAATTGCTGATTTTAAGTGCTTTATTTAAATCAAAATGTGTGCCATCACATTTCTAGTTAACCCCTTTGTCACAAACTGTTGCAATTTTCATGTTTCATAAATCTCACTCTCCTCTCAATATGTGACACATTTCTTCAGTATCCCTTCGGTTTCTTAGCATACCTGCCAAGTCTCCTGTTTTTTAACGAAGACTCCTGTATTTTACGACTAACTCCTGTTTACCTGTATATTCTCAAATTTCTCCTATTTGTTGAAGAAATTAAAAAAAAAAAAATTCTTTTGGCGATAAAATATCCACTGATGGCAAAAATACTTTTCTTATTCCTCAAAAGATGATGCTATTGCTAGTACTGCAGTGTGTTGAATGTAAAAAGTTTTAGTAAAGCGGGGATAGCCTGGTTGGTAGGGCACTTGGCCCATGTTCAAGAGTTATTGTGTTCGATCCCCGCCGGCCGAAGACTCCTCGTGTAGTAAATGGTGACTGATGCATGTTAAATCTGTCGAGTCGCAAAATCCTCCATGTTTCCATAACAAATCAATATGTCTGAGGGTATTGATTCAGGAGTTTCCTTGCCTTCTGGATTGGTTCAAAATTGCAAGGCTATGGAGTTGAACATTAGTAGTAAACCCAAAATTAGGTCGGCTGTTCAGCTTAGAAGAATTTTTGGTGCTGTCAATGAGAATAACAAATGACACACGCTTTGCATTCATGGGCTATATAAAAAGTATAAACAACCAAACATAGTTCATGTTATTATGGCCAATCGCATTCAATAGCTGGGACGCCTTTAGATCTGAAGACCAAAACCCCCCCCAAAAAAGTAACTTTTCCTAAACCAGAAGGTACAAGAAAAAGGGGTCGTCCACCGACTAGGTGGCTGGACGCAGTTGAGAAAGACCTAAAGATAATAGGAATAACTAACTGGAAGGCACAGAATAGATCAAAATGGCAAAAACTTATTGGGACGGCCTTGGCCTGTCATATGCTGTAGTGCCCAAGAAGAAGTTCAACAACGGACATAAAAGAAAAAGTTTAAGTTATCCACAAAGTCAAATTTCTCACAATACTGGAATTCCCTTGTCTTCTCGATTGGGTGCAAAATTACAAGGCTCTGTAGTTGAACATTAATAGTCGTAAACCCAAAAATTGGGTCTGCTGTTCAACAACCATTATTAAATAAAATAGTTTAAGTAATTAAAAATAATGTTGTAAAAAAATCTATTTTAGATTAATATTTATATACATATTTTTTACTTTGCTAAATGTAAGGGCTTATATTATTTCCAATTTTGAATTCTTTTCTGACTTAATTAATTATCTATGATGTATCAAAACTTTACTCGTAGCTTAGAAAATGTTGCTAGTAAAATCTCCATTATTTTATTTCTCCAATGCTGGCTTAGGGTAAATTAATTAAAATTGAAAGTTTTACTATAGTTAGCATGTCAAATTTGACCTTCAATCTTTTGTCTAGAATAACCAATCTTAGGCAGTGAAACGTAATAATTCAAAACTACTATAATTAAAGAAGTTTTGAAACAACAATATTTAGTTTCATATTCTGTGTTAAATAAAAAATTAAATTGTTATCATGCATATAAAATTTTTAAAAATAAGATACATTAAACCCCTTAAAAAATAAATTTCTTTCTGAAGCCCTGATTTTATATTAACTCAAACTGTTTGTAAAGTTGAGATAACTGATTGATTGTTATTTTTTGTTATATCTGAGCTTGCTCCAAACAAAGCACCATTTAATTTTTAGTGTTTATTCTTGCTTACCTCAATATAGCTCAAATTACTTAACTGGAGTATTTCTTTATTAATAACATAAATTAATGCAAAATGAAAATAATAAGTTTATTTACGAAATATCGATAGGGTTGTTTTGATTTTTAAGCTAGGATGATGTATCATAATCAATATAACAGTAGGGAACCGATTATCCGGAACGATCGGGACCATCGCTATTCCGGATAACTGATTTTTCCGGTTTTCTGAATCACTACGAAAAGCCGTTTTTTTTATTGTTAAACCCAACTAAAAAAAAAAAATTTATGATAATAATCTTAAAAAGAGGAAAAAACGATGAAGTAATGCACTAATGATTATCTCCAAAGTGATGGTAAGGTAAACATCCTTCAAAAAAGAAAGAAAAATCCTAAAATCTTATGAGGAAAAAAAATATTTTTTAAAAAAATGGCGGGAAAATTTCTCGAATTTCGTTCCGGTTTTTTGGTTTTCCGGTTTTCTGATTTCCGGATAACGGGTTCTGTACTGTAATAGTTTTGTTTAGTTTTCAATACGTATATGGTTATGGCTATAAATATTTATTGTTTAATTCTTTTATGTATAAAAAATTATTTTTCTTCATTTTATCATTATCTTAGAAGTACTTGTGCATAAGTAATGATAAAAAAAAGAAATTTTATATATATTTCATAATATATATTATATAAAGGAATTGTGTAAAACTAGAATTGTGAGCAGCATGGTTATCTTAATATAATTGCTTAAAATTTTAAATACAATTTTATGATACCACCTGACATATTATCATAACTGGTATGCATGTGTCAATTGCTGACTTGTGTTAATTAAAAACTTGTGTCAATTGCACCCCATCAAAGTATTAACCATGATTTGTCAATTTTGTTCATGAACTGTCACCAAAGGTAACTTTTAGTGATATTTAATACCCTGCAGTCGTGAATCACTACAAACTAGTGTTTTTAAATTATAACGCAACTTACAATACTACTTCGAAAAAATAGTGTATAACACTACAAACTTAAAAAAAGTTGTGTCTACAGTAATTTTAAAAATTGTAGTGCATTCGCTCTGACCAATGGTACTTAGTATGTGAAAATCTAATCATTAAGTTTTTCAGGGTATAATCTTTTTCCAATTCAATGTTGTAATTGGCTCAGCAAAATTTCTTTTAGCCCATTGCAATAAACTAGCCATCATGAAATTCAGTTCATGTCTTTAATATCAATATTAATTGCTGATATATTTTTTTTCTTTTCAGATAATGGGACATATGGATGTAATACCTATAATATCAGATGGCTTCAATATTTATTTTCCAATTTTGATTTTCTTTGTTTGTTTAGCAACCTATTTTAATATTTGTACTCGAGTTCTTCACTTTATTGGCTTTGAACAATTTATTGGAGATGACGAAATGACTTCAGATCTTATTGAAGAAGGGAAAGAGCTAATTAAAAGAGGTATGTTACGCAAATATATGATTTTATTTATATTCCTCCTCTAGTTATTTTCAATCATCCTTATTTTAAAATGTGACATATAAATTTTTATATCCCCTGACTGTGAAGCCAATGGTTAGGGGTTCAAATCCCACTCAGGGCATGGATGCTTCTCTCTGTGTGTTATCCAAATTACTCATTTTTTAGCACTATATTTGAATTAAGAACTATTAAAAATACTGAAATATCTCTTATTTATGTGTCTCACTTCGCCTGATGTGACTCCTGCTAGTTCCTAACTATATTTAGTGTATAATTTCATTGCATCTTTTAATATTTCTTTAGTATTTTTGAAGACACATTTTTTTTACTACAACTGTTGCAATAAGAAATCTTATGTAGACTTAGAGGTTGGGCAGCTTCAAAGAGCAGGTCACATCGACCAGAGGTCTATTGTACCCAAACCCTTGCGCCATTGCTCATGGGCAATTTTGCCATAGAGCTTGAATATCGATGCCCTGAATAACCTTATGTACGAAAGTTCTTATCTGTAATTGAGAGTCTTCAATCTTTAGAAATAGAGAAGGGTTCTTAAAATGGAGGAAAAAATTATTTTATTGCTTTCATTGAATTAATAGTTTTGAATTGTTTCATGAGATAATTTTTCATTGCAAAATTCACTTAAAACTTTTACCTATTCAAAACACCTTGCACTCCAATTGAATAATATAAGTGGGGTTAAATAGATAAATTATGTTAATGATTTGATACCAAATTCATAACATTAATATTAGAATATATCTGTTCAGGATAAATAAGCTTTATAACACATTATTGGATGTTAATTCTGCATGAGTGAAGCCATAAACTTTTCTTTCCTTGTGAAGCTTTCTTTTGTTAAGCTGCACAGGCTATTTCTTATTCAAAAAATTCTTTGGTTTTAAAAAGTTTAGGTTATTTTAATAGAGTTAACCCCAATATCATGAAAAATTCTGAATTTTGTACGCATTTGTTTGAAGTTGTCAATTGTGTGAAGAAATAGCTTGCAAAATTGTTGAAATGTAAAAATTTGAATGAAAAACAATTTGATACATGATGACCTATGTCATATTTCATTTTTCTGGGGATGGTAGCCATTTTTTCCAAATGGAATCCTTTCTTTAGTGTGATGAGGTAAAGTAGTTGTGTTTTTTTTATTGTATATCCCATTATTAACTAAGTTTAGTTGTTATCAATAAAACAAGATCAAAACATAAAAATGTAATATTGGCCGATGCAAATTTGTTCCTATTATATATTTTGTGATTATAAATCATGGAGAAGATGTCTTCTCATTCATTCTTCGTGATGACAGTGTTTAATTTTTTTTATTATAGAGAGTAATGCTTCAGATCTTTAAGTTAGTGAAATTTCAAGAAATCAAAATTACATTGGATTAGTAAAAGTTTTTGATATTTCATACGTGAAAGAATTTCTTTTGTCTAAAAGAAAATTTTATACCTGGAGAAGCTTCTTTCAACAGATACATATGTTATGAGGGCATAGTTGAAAAAAAACTTAATTTTTTTTACTGACCCTCCTTTAGTATTAAAAGTTCCCACTTCACCTATTGAGATTTTTTTGTATCATTTAAAAGTGAATGTCTTTCACCAAGACCATGCATAATTTGACTATATTTTGTCCTCTCCTGCTTTTTTTAAAATTTCTTCTCTTTTTATCGATGTATCTTGTCTCATACATATGCACTAAATCTTTTCTTTTTTTTGACCTTGTTAATAATAAGGATAAAGTGCTAAAGTTGACTTAATAAATTCTTAATTTCTTGCAATTTTATCTGAAAAATTAATTTTTTTGCTATTTTAATCTTACTTATCCACAAAATCCCCCCCTCCCAAAAAAAAATTTTTTTTTTTGTTTCTTATCATTAGTTTAAAAAATTGTTATCTTTAGCTGGAAACTGTAATGCATTAAATAATTTTCCCACTTAAAAAGTGTGAAAGTTGTAATTTTTAGCTAAATTTAAGCTAAAAGGTTAATTTTGTTAGAAACATAATAGTACATACTAGGTAAAGGTGTCTCATCTTCATTATTGAAAACTAAAGTAGAAAAAAATGACTTGAATTACTAATTTCATGGCATATTTTATAATTTACAGTAAATTATAGAGTGATTAATTTATATTTTTAAGTTTGTTGCTACAGTACTTAGCATACCTTTCAATTGATGGAAATCTAATATATCAAGATTTGCTGAACAAAAATGTGCCTCATTAGAGGACCAAATGTTTCCTACCCTACATTCATTTTGCAGAGAACCAGTTTTAGCAGCATAACCAATGCAAATGCCTTCTGTTCATTAATAGTGGTAATTAAACCGAAAGAAAAGTAGTGATGTAGTTCATAATTGTAATCGATAAACAATCCAGATTTATTAAAGTTACCCAATGGTACATGAATTATCTTGCAGAATATTTTGATTTACGATTGTAAAAACAGGATTTCAAAAGAAACAAGACATAGATAAAACTTCCTGGAAAGTTTCACTAACTTTTTTATAGCAGTATCAATGAAAAGAAATAGAGTAAAAGCCAAGATTTCAAGAACGTCACAGTCTTTATACATCTAGATTTGACATCATCAAACAGTTTCAACTTCTTAAGCAACTTGCATAAATTTATCAAAAGATAAAATAAAGGCTGATTTGTAACTTCTCTTATAAGGAATACAATATCCCCTGAGTATGGTCGTGTTATTATTTCTAATAAATGTATTCCACCAAACATTTTTGATGGCATACTGTGACAAGTATACGATATGATTGTAGATTTAGTTGATTCCAAAAAATGGCATCAGATGACTTAGATGTTGGCAAAACAAACCATTTTCAAAGCATCTGGCTAGAGGAGTACGTATTTCAATAAACAATTCGCTGCAAAGTGCTTTATTAATTCTTTTCTGTTACCCATATTGTTTTATAAAAATGGTATTTTTATTTAGAAAAAAATAGGCGACAGAGACTTGAAAGTGTAGAAATTCGCAGGCGGCAATCGAATAGACCTAGCTCTAGCTTATCAAGAAGCAGTAGACGTTCTACAAAACCATCTGATATCAGTAAGTATATTATTGTATATTTTGTTACTAGTGCATTTCATTGCAGTTATATGTATAATGAAATTTGTGTAAGTTGACATGTTGCAGTGCATTGTTTTGGTGGTTAATTTATAGAGTCCATTTTGGTTTTAGTATTTTCTATAAATTCAGTTGAGAAATTTGTTTTGCAGCACCTTATTTTTTTTCTATTTTTAAATTTTTGTTCTTTCTTTGAAATATAATTTTTTTCAGCCACAGTCTGACAGTTCTTACATCAATAAATCGGTGTCAATTTATGTACTCCCGTAATTTCTTTTTTTAGGTACGTTTATTTAATGCAGAAGCGCTTTTTTTTAAATTTTTATTTCTTATATATTGTATACATTGGTTTGCAAAAGGGGCAGAAATTGATCAGCATTGAAAAATAAATGAAAAAGAATTTCAACTAAAAGTATCTGCTGCAATTAGATCCTTGTATAGAATAAGAAGATTTTATTTTCTAGCTTTGTGACATAAAATATTTATAAAGAAAGTGCAGATGAGTAGAATAACGTAAAAAATATAGCCTACTAGTTTATTCTTAAATTACAAACTAGAATTTGTAACCCACCCCATCTATAGGGGACATCATATGTTTTTTCGTTAATCAAAAACTTCTTTTTACACCCATATTTAATTTTAAAAAAAAAACGTTTTCAGAGTAAGCATTACGAAATAAATTCGGAATTTCAGAAAAAAATTTCTAAAAATCTGGTTTTGAAAAAAATATACTGTTATATCATTATCAAGCATTACTGTTATATCATTATATAATTATCAAGTGTGGCTTGGAGGAAATGAATTCTTCATGTAGGCCGCAACCTATTGACCAGATATTACTGTATGTGACAAAACTATTTTTCGCTAGTTTTTTGTTAATCATGATCATACATTAATGTGACTCTGGTGGAAAAAAGAATTAATCAATCACATATGAAAATATAAATTCATCTCTTGCATGTGTTAAAATATATATGCCTTAAAAAGTTATAAAATAAAAAAGGAGGAATAATTGTAACATATTTGTGTTGAATGTCTAAAACTCAAATATCACATTTTGTTCCAGGTAAAAACAAAATTCAGAAGAAAACTTCATTCTGTATCAAAACAAGACTAATTATTAACAAATTAAACAAGTAGTTATTCAAATTTTAATTGAAACACTAATTTTTTAGCAAAAATTTCATTAAATCTCTAAAATAAATAAAATAATAAATCTGTGAAAAATGAATTGTTATTATTCAATTTTAGTTAATGAATTTATGATTAATGAAGTGATTTAGTGATTGATACCCCATGCCAACATGTTATTTGGCTGGAATGCTAATTTGACTGTTTCACAAAAATGTCTACCTCACTGTTCCACAAAAAAAAAATTTAAGCATTTCAAAGCATGAGGGATGTCACTTTCACCCATCTGTTAAAAAATATCTTAATATATTTTAAGGCCTTATAGAATAATAATATCTTTAGGTGTTTAAAACAACTTAACTAATTTGCTTCCTTATAGTTCAGTTGTTAAGATCTAGTTTCTTAGGATGAACATTTTGCTAGCACCACACATTGATATCAGAAAAAGTGTTAAGTTAGGATGTAACCTTCGAGCAGATTTTCTGAGGTAAATAATATGATGAAATAAAAAATAAATCATTTTATTGCTTATGTACAAATGGGCTTTTTTCGTATAAACATACACATTTTTTTAACTACAACCTCAAAAATGAGTCTGCAAGCAAGACATTTAATGATTTCTCTTTTAAATGAAATGTTGAAAAAGTATCTTTTCAAATTACGAATAGTGAAAAGAAAATAACTTTTACAATTTAAAGCAAAAAAATCATTTGATATCAAATATATATTTCTTTGAATAATGCTTGAATTTATTTTAATATAAAAAAAACAATACAAAAATTTACAAGCACCAGTATTCTCAAAATGATTTTATTATTTATTCATAAGTAATGCAATAAAATGTACTAATTTATATAGAATTAAACTACAAATCTTAAATAATTTGTTTACTAATATTAAAACTGACGTTTCCAGTTAGTAAATAATGAGCAAATATATTTTGCAGTTTTTTGTATTATATCTTAAGTGATATTTTGCTTAATTTTATTAAAAAATTCTGATTCTGTTTCATGCGGAAAAAGAGTATTATTTCGAGATAATATTGGGTCATATTACCTTATTTATTTATATTGAATGGTTATTTTTATATAATATTCTTATTTCAAGGCTTTAAAAGTTTTAAATCAATGTATGAATTACAAATTTTATCATAGATAAAATAATAACTTTCTGCAAACACTAAGTCTTTAATGATTAAACTTCCTAGAAGCAATTTATTAACTCTTATAGCTAGTTTTAATCCTTCTGTTGCCACTTTATTTTGACAAAATGTTTTTGAAAAATATTGATATTTTTTAATCAATGTTTTAATTTTCATAAAACTCTTGACATGACAAAACAATAAATAAATATAAAACTACATATAAAGAAATAAATGAATCATTACTTAAAACATTTTTTTGCATGCATTCTCAGATTTTTTGATAATCTCATTATAAATCATTCAATTTATATCCATAAAGAGAAAGATGCTCAAGAAATCAGCTTTTTCATTTTCCTTCACTGGGTTTTCAATAATTAATGCAAAATTTTCTAGAACAGTCTCTGAGCTCGTTTTTAAATTTTCGTTGCATCCAAGTTTTCTTTGCCAATATTTAAATTTTCAGTTTTGCCTAAACTTTCTTCTGTTATATTTGAATTTTATAAAATAGTTTCTGAATTCTCAGCAATAATTTTTAAATTTCCTGTATTATCTTCAGAATTTTTAGATGCAGGCACAAAAGCGAAAAACAATGTTTGGTTAGCAGGTCTTTTGTTTATTGTATTTTCATTGTAAATTTGTTCGATTATGTATTTTTCGCAAAGATCTTTATGGCAAACGCAGCATTTTACTTACCCCATTAAACTTGAGTAATTGTTTATTATATAAAACAGACTTAAACACTAGTTCTAGCTAAGATTGCAATCCTATATAGGATATATTCTTAGAATATAGTAAGTGATAAATCAGCTTCACATGGTCTTACAGTTTAAATATTAGCCCTTGCTCTCTGTGGTAAATATCATAAATAGCATATCCTGTTCTCCCCTAAAGTCAAGATGAATATTTAAGTAAAATCATTTACTATCCAGATACACTATAGCCTTTTTTGTTGTTGAGAAAACCTTGAAGAAGTTAAATTAGTAAAATTATAATTTTTTTACTACGGCAGCTAAAAAAAAACATGACAGAAGTAATTCCTTCCTGCAGCATTAATTTCTAGGCACTACTGGTGCCTAGAACTTAAAAAAATTGCCAGTACATACGAAAAATAAAACATTTCAGATTCCTGAGGGGATGGCCATCTTGAACACTAGCAGTAATAAAAAAGCTGTTTTTATCCTTTATCTTATATAATATTGTTATTTCGTTTATTATAGTATATTGAGTAACAAATGGCAATAAAAATTATTGTTTTCAAATTTGGTTGCAAGAGAATTTTGCTCAATTTGCAGCAATTTCATCATTCCTAAAAATCAAAATTATCTAGTATGTGGCATAATTATTTTTAAATTCAAAATAAATCCTTTGAGGTCATTCTTAATAAATATGAAAAATTTAATTTAACTAAGAACGGAATTGAGTTAGAAGAAGAAACAATAGAATTTGTCATCAATGCGTTGATGAATATTTTCTTACTTATTATCTGAAGGAACTCCTTGTTTATTTGCATTTAAGTTCAGCTGAAATGTTTTCTTTTAATAAAGGTTTACTCAACTCTTCACCTGATGAAAATTCACGAATAGAGCTTCTTAAAGATATAGAACCCATAGATTATACTGAAGAACGCTCTACAAATACATTTGGTCGCTCTCCATACCAAGAAGAAGCTGATGATAATTACTTACATTGGTCTCGAATAGGAAGTCCTCCTGCTGGTATATTTGATGATGTTTGAACGTGTCGTAAACTGTAAATAGCTGTATTTATTTTTGTAAATAATTATTTCTTCACTTCTAGTGACTTCTAAATATAAAATGTCTTTAAATGATATTTAATATCCTCAATAATTTTCAAATGATATTTAATGTCCTCAATAATGTTCTCTTTTAGATTTATTATGGTAAAGACTATTTATATTCTGTTGTAAATGGATGGAATTTGTAATAATAAGAAACACATGAGGAATATAGGGTTCAATGAGGATTTCAAAAGCAAATAGCAGTATATATTTTTGAAAACCAAATCAGTTATGTCAATATTATATCCTAAATTGTACACTTTATCTGAATGCCTTGATCTTTTATGCATTTATTTTGAGGAATTTTTGTTAAATCTAGTTTTTTTACTCAAATTTTAAGTTAATTATTGCTATTTTTCTCATGTAAATACTATTCAAGGCTTATGCTTAATTTTAAGAATCTTCTTTATAAGGAGGGGGGGACTCGATGTGTTAATCTATAACTGATAAATATTGTAATTGCTTTAAGATTATTTTTCATGTGATGCATTTATTGTTTTTTTTCTTAAATTACCTTTAAACTCTTTTCTTTTTTTTATATAAATTATTTTCATTGTATCATAAGTTATAATATTTGTTCCAATTTTTTTTAATATGATTAACAATTACTATAATTTTAATAATAATGTATGTAAAATATTCTGTCTCTTAAACTTTTTTCTTCATACTATTTATTTACCTAAAATAGTAATAAATTGAATAATGAAATTGTAATGAACAACGAAATTATAATGAACAATGAATTTTTTCCAATGCAGTAATTAAACATTCTTAATTTTCAAATTTCAGTGAAATGTGATAAACAATTACTATGATTTTAATTTATTTTGTATGTATAATATTATTTTAATTATTAATTTTGTATGTATAATATTCTGTCACTCAAACTTATTTCTTAATGCTGTTTATTTACCTAAAATTGTAATGAATCGTATAATGAAATTGTTATTAATAATTATTTTCATGAAATTGTAATGAACATCGAATTTTTTCCTATGCAATAATTAAACATTGTTAATTTTCAAATTACAGTGAAATAACGAATCTCTGTAATTCAAATTTCCCTGAAATCAAAGTTGAATCATATATATTAAATTTATTTTCCTTGTGGCTTAGAAATGTAAAGAAAATTGTGTTCTAAAAATCAAGTCATATACCTTTACTGCCCCAGAGTGTCGTGCGTGATGAAATAAAAATCTTTGAATTCAAAAGAATGATACTTTTTTTAAAGCAATTTTCATTTATTCTAGATGGATAAATTTTTTCCTTGGTGACCACTCCATTAAAAATGAATAAATTTAAAAAATATATAACTATATAAAAATAGACTTTAACTAATAAATAAAGTTAATTGGTTTTGCAGTAATGCAGAGGCGTAAACACTTATTGAAATTTTCAGCAATAAACTGCAAGTCTTCTGCATTTATTCTATCCCTTTCCGCCAAAAATTGCTTTAGGGACACTAAACTTTTGGATGGTTTAATGGAAACTCTAGACTCCAAAATGGACTTTATGTTGTTATTTATGAGATCTGGGGAGTAGGATGGCCATTCTTCAGATAATATCATGTCTTTAAAATGTACCTTGCACCATTCTTGTGTCTTTTTGACCCACGGAAGTACAACAGCTTCTAGAATGTCTCGTGTTTACGCTCTTTGATTTATTTTAACAGTTTCATCCATAAAAACCAGATGTGTTTGTTCAACAATTGCTGAATTTCTTGGACAAACCAGATTCTATTGTTCTGAGAATTATGAGCTTGTTGGACTGTAAAGAGCTTCTTATCAGTAAAATCTCTCCCAATGCTCATTGCTATAAATTTCAATATGCCTTTGCATCACAGCGAAAGACAGCAATTTTGAAATCAATTAAATATATTTATAAGTAAAAGTCTACTCTTGTTATTTGTTATATTTTTTTTAATTTATTTATTTTTATAAAGTTAAATTAAAAATTGTTTGTCCGGGTTGTTTTTGCCTCACCTTGTATTTATATATATATGCAACATAAAAAGCTTCAACTAATCTTTCTATGTTATTCCTTTTCTGTATATCTTTGTCTTAATGTATTATTCAAATCAAGACGCTCTTTCTCACACTTTAAAATTCACACCCTGTCTTTTAATCTATTTTTAGTTCAAGTATACATTAATTACCATTTTGTTGATTATCCCTTTAACTAATTTGTAGGAAAGACTTTTTCCCTGGACCTATTTAACTGACCAATTATAATTACTAAGTTTTCCCTTATTGCCTAAAACGAAGCATTTTACGGAAGCATTTTAAATTTTTAAGATTTTCCCTAACTTTTATTAACGAGCACAACGATTTTGTGTCACTTTGATAAGTGTTCTCTGTCTAATAATTATTAAATAAATTTTGTGCCCTCTTTCCCTGCCAAAGACCTGTTTTTAATCCTTCCACATTATATGTAATATTAGTTAAATGAATCCTATCATGAATTCAGTTTGTTTTTCCCTATTCATCAATTTTAAAGGATTTGCAATAGGATTAAGCAGTTAAAATTACCTGATTATTTAATAACACAAGCCTACGAAATTGAAGTTTTTGAAAAATACAAGAGAAGTTATTGTTGATTTATATGTTATTTTATGCGCTGATTTTGAAAATGACCATTTTTCCGAATCACATCAGGATTTTTTGCAAAATCGATATTAATGTTTTTACTAAAATGCTATTTGGAAGGAATTCTCTCAAACAATTTTGCATGTACTAGCCGGTAACTGCTCTCTTCACTAATTTTGAACTATGTAAAATTTAATCTTGTGAAAGAAAATTGATTTTTGAGCTATCAGCTAACTTTTTATAGGTTAAAATGGATACAAAATACTATTACCAGACCGCACAAGTCACTTTTGATCGAGAGAAAAACAATAAGTTCCTTGCGTTCAAACTTTTTACATCAGTTTCTAGAGGAAAATCACCAACATACCATTTTAATTAATTTTTATTAAGATAACTTACGTAAAATTGACTATTGACCAAAAATAGCAAATATTGTGTATTGTTTTCCCTTATATATGAAAGTTTGAAACAAAACAAGCAAAAAACAAACGAAAATAGTTTCTATTTAAGTGCATACTCGTTTTCCTCTGAAACTTATTTTTTATGATCTTCTTTCATGCTTAATCTCAGGTCTATCCCGAGCTATCATCCAACAGTAGTCTGCGAGCATGTTCTTGTCCCATCTTCCTTGATATTTACGCTCCATATCTTTGATATCTTGATGGAACCTTTCCCCTTGTTCTACGTTGACTGCTCCTACATTTTCGGGAAAGAAGTCCACATGTGACTGAAGGAAATGCATTTTTACACTCATGGAGCAACCCAATGTTTTAAATTTGTCCAGCATTTTCATTACAATTTTCGTTACAGATCCTTGCAATTACCCAGAAATTCACTCATGACATCTTTGAAAGCAACCCAATCTTCTTTTTCCGTCGCTGTCATGTTAGTCTCAAATTCTTTATCCTTCATGTGTTTGTGGATATCTGGACCAACAAAGATTCGTTCTTTCAACTTGGCTTGGGAACTTTTTGCACAGTTATTTGAAGCAATCGTCATCGTATGGAGCAGCCTTGACAAACTGCTTCATTACACCTAATATTATAAGTAGCGGAGGTAACAATACTTTTTTCAGATAAACTAAGCTGTTTCGAATAGCGTTCTTGGTGCCTGGGTCAAGATTTTGTCTTTTCGGCCATTCTTTTTTGACCCAATGTTAAGTCTTGTCACGGCAGTCCCACTCACTAATGAAACATGGCAACTTTGTAAATCCACCTTGTTGACCAAGAAGCATGGAGATAACTTTCAAATCTCTGCAAATCGTCCAACTGTGGTCAATATATTTTATTTTGACCAGTACGAGAGCCAGGTTTTCATAGAATTCTTTTAAATATACTTAGTGTTCAACTGGTACAGATACATACTGGCTCCCATGATGAAGAACAGCTTTGGGGCTTCTTTTAGATGAATTTATAAACAGCCTCTACTCATCTTAATTGAAGATGACATTAAATTTGCTCATCAATCCAGGAGCATCAAAACAATAGACCAAGTTCTCCTCTTCATCAAAGTACTTAATAAATTCCTTTTCATGATTTCTGTACCAATAAAAAGATGTTCCTTTGGCAAATAAATTTTTTCTTTCAGTCTGGAGTCTAACAATTCAGCTGCCTCTTTCGAAAGGTCAATATCTCTAGTCAGATTATTAAGTTCAACCCGAGAGAAGGGATGAGGTGAACCGGCTACAGATGGCTTATATTCGATATCGGAGCCTTGAACTTCTGGATGTTCCGACTTTGAAGAGATGATTGGCAATTCAGTTGGAGGCACAGGCACATCAGGTCCATGAGAAACGGAGCATGGATGATGGAATGCTATCAGGATAATATATTAGCCTTTGATTTTTCCGGTTATACCCACGAACATGGCAGGAACAAAAATAACAATCATCAAAGTGGTTTTGGGGCTCCCTCCACGTCATAGGAATTCCAAATCGTAGAGCAGTCTTCTTTCCTTGATGCCATAAGCATAGATCATTGAGACAGTGCACTCAAATTTTATGAGGTGCCCACGATTTGTCCCGGTCTCCGAATTTTGTCTTACATAGTCTGTAATGCTCCTCATGCGATTTTTAATAACACTACATTCGACGCATATATAACAAAAGTCATATGGGAAATTTTCACAATGTCTCGAACTCGAAGCCATGTTTCACGAAAAGTACAGAAAAAAGCAGCTGTAAAATGACTCCCTATTACGCTTGCTAGTGTTTCTGAGAGGTCAGCAACCTAGATAAGAATTCTTGCGACACTATTGGTAGAGAGGGATGGTGACAGGAAGTAGTCATACTTTTGTAGATTTAACTAAAATAGAATGCTGGTCTGTCAAGAAGGGAAGAAATTGAAAAATGATAAAAAGAAACTTGATGGTAAATGTTCATAAAAATTCCAGTAAAATTGAATTTTTCAAAAAAACGTGATGTGATAGAAATTTTTCATTATTATTTTCCATTTCAGCACCAAAAAATACATTAAGCTCAGTTATCAGATCCCTTGTATTTTTTTCATCGCAGGCCTGTGTAATTAGTTAGCATTTATTAATGTATTTTCTATTTTATGATAGAAAGAAAAACTTATGCAATCCCACTTGCCAACAACTTCAATTTGCTTAGATTATTTTATTTTATAACCATCATTAAACAGCCGACCCAATTTTTCCGCTTTAAGACTACTAATGTTCAACTCTGTAACCTTGTAATTTTGATAAAAACAAGTTCACCTCATTGGAAGGCAAACGCTCTATCCCCTGAACCATCACGGCGCCGCTTCGATTATTGTGCTTTTACTAGGGATGAGATTTTTCTGTTTTTTTCCCT